TTAATATCGTTTATACCCTTAATGAATAAATTAAATGAATTAATTAAATATATATTGAATATTTTTTAAGATAAACAAAAAAATTCAAAATGAAAACACAAATAATAATTTATGCTTCTAATTTTTTATTATTAAGATATTTCTTAACAAATAATTATAAAAGGGCTTAAGCCCGCATGGCGGGCAAAACACCTAGTTTCTATTATTATAATAAAAGGATTTAATGTTTGCAAATCTATATAATTTATGAACTGATTTTGCTTATTTGTTACATGCTCAATGATTTTAGCTAATATTGCTTATGTGTTATATGTTTAATAATTTCCTATATAATTTATTATATATAACGAATTTATCTGAATAATATTATAATTTACTCATTTATCTACTTTTACATGATTTTAGATATTTTTTACTGAACTTTCATATTTTTATTATATAGATAATTTATTATATTTAAAATAGAATTTCTATTAATAATATTATATTTTATGAAATAAAACAAGATAATTTTAATGTATTTTCCTGTGATTTTAGGTAAATTTGTTTATTGTCATGTTTTAAATAATTTTATATATAATTTCTTATATAACTAAAAAAATTCTATTCAAAATATTTTAATTTCAGAAAATAACATAATTCTTATGTTTTATGTTGTTAACTTGAAACTATTATTTTCTCTTATAAATTTTAAAATATAAAAATTATAACTAAATAGAAATCAGACAAAAATATTTATTTGATTATAGTTTTAAAAATAGTTTTGATATGTGAGCGTTGTAATGTTTTTAATAATTTTATATATAATTTATTATATAACTAAAACAAATTTCCATTAATAATATTTTCATTTTAGAAAATAAGTTAATTCTTATGTTTTATGTTGTTATCTTGAAACTATATTTTCTATTATAAAAATTAAAATATAAAAAATTATAACTAAAGAGAAAAAAAATTATTTGATTATATTTTAAAAAATATTCTTGATATGTGAGCGTTGTTATGTTTTTAATAATTTCATATATAATTTTTTATATAACTACAACAAATTTCTATTAATAATATTTCAATTTTAGAAACAAAATAGTTCTTATGTATTATGTTGTTATCATCACTTTACTCCAAAATGCTCCTGAACCTGAAAACATACCTAATAGACTCCAAAACATATATAAAACTTAAAAAAAACATATCAATACCATTAGTAAAAACGGATCAAAATCATGGTATATCAACTACACTTTGTTGAGTTGTTTAACAAGATTGGAGTCACTTCAGTCCCTCCATCTTGAGAGGACGTATAAGCAATATGTGTTAATAGGGTTATATATGTCATTAAGCTTTACCTAATCCCTATTGTAATCACTATATAAACTGTACCTATCATTGTTAATAAAGTATTCAGCCTCCAATCCTATAAGCACTTCTTTTTTCCTTTTTCTCACCATGGGGGTATTTTCGACATTTGTTATAGCTCCAGATCTGAGCCGTCTAAAAAATTGTTTGAATCTCTAATTTATTTGTGCCATGGATGACTTTCATTGTTATCAATAGCACTAAAACATGATCATTCCTTTTAATGAATGATTTATGTTTTCCTAAATTACTCTTAATTTTATGAATAAATTAAATTTTTCATTAAGGGTATTTTAATCTTTTTTATTTGGGTCTAAAAACTATATACTAATGAGTTTCATTAATGGTTGATTCTCTTTCAAATTTTATAAAAAAAATTCCTGCGAAAATATATTTTCTTTGCGGGTCAAGCGGCCCAAATTTTTCAGTCGAAAAATGACTCAGAGCAGGTTGGACGGGGCGGGTCAAACTGAACGATTGAAATTTTGTAACTAAATGATTTTACAAATTAATCACAAAATTAAAAAAAAAATGGACCATTTAATTGGTAATATTTCTCAAGTACACATTTCAGGTACAACTATTATTAACTTATTTAGAAACATAAAAAAACTTGTCTGAGACATTATAAAATAAAAGTTTCTTATACCCACATAATAACTTGATTTTAATTTTGTGACATTTTCTATCATCACATAAAAAGACTTATCAATCTATCTGTAATCTGTAGATAAAACAACAAAAATAGTATCCGCGTTTTTTCGAAAAATCTAGTTAAAAGTTAAAAGTGTTGATGTTAATAATGTGTGCAAAAGCCCAACCCAATAAAACTATGTATTCCTATCGAAAAGGCCCACGAGCTAAAAAAGGATGGTTAATTAATCGCCTGATCTAATTAGTTAGTACTTTAGTAGATAAGTTGATTAGTTAACACGATAAATAAAAGGTTGAAGGAAGGAAGGATCCAGAATCAACCTCCTTTCCTAGTACTATAAATACAAACCCTAAACGTTTTTCCTCATCTCTGGTTTGTTTGTTGTTGAAGACGACTCTCGACTCAAAGAAAGGTGCTTACTTTCTCTTGCATTTTGTTGTTTCAAGATTTACTTGGGCTTGCTTTAGTGTAAGAGAGATTGGATTCAAGATTCGCAAGAATAATAAAAAAAAAGGCATCTTTCGTTTATTATCCTTTAGAAGTTAAGTTGTTGCTCAAATCCCAACATAAACATGATTTGGATTTAGTGTGTGAGTTTGAAAAATTAATGGGTTTATTATCTGAGTGGCTCTAGTCTAGGGTTTTGATAGGTACGAGATTTGCTGTTTTTGTTTTGGTTCAAAAAGCTGAGTTCTTTGTTTATGGGATTTGAAGAGTAGGAGGAATCAGAATCATCCGCCATGGAAGAGAGGCATGAGGAGGAGGAGGAGAACGATGTTTACAGACCAATGGATTCCGTCTTGGCTCCCATCTTCATTCAAATGATGAAAAATTCCGGAACCAACACCGATATGGATTCTCAGCTTCAAGAGATCCTTAGGAGAAGGGGAAGACGTCCCGTTTCCATTGAACAGCTGCTTCAGGGAATACGCACTGGCTTAACACTTGCACCTGCTGAGCCTGAGCCTGAGACTAACAACAACGCAGATCATGATGATGATGATGACAACGATCCAGCACCACCAGCAGAGAGAGGACGCGTGATCGTCACCAATCCCTATAACCAGATTGTCGCTGTCCCAAGCTCTGCCGTTTCCGACACTCTGCCTCCTGTTGTTTCTGGTTCTCTCAGCGAGTACTTCATCGGTCCTGAATTCGAAGCGCTGCTTGAGAACTTAACTGAGACTGACCCCAACAGGTATGGAACGCCTCCAGCTCGGAGAGATGCTGTTGAGGCTTTGGCTGATGTCGTCATCCTACTTCCGGGCATCCAGTGTTCTGTGTGTTTGGATGATTTTGAGATTGGAAATGTGGCTAAACAGATGCCTTGTGACCACACCTTTCACAGTTATTGCTTGCTCTACTGGCTTCAGCTTCATAGCTCCTGTCCGGTTTGTAAGTGTCAGCTACCTACTGCGGAGGATGATGAGACAAACGGTGGTGCTGCTGCTGGCAATACGTCTTCTTCTTCGACAAGCGACCAGGAGGAGGATCCCATTGCTGCTTAGCCAAGCCCCACCTGGTTCTCTTGATAGCAAATCCATAGGAGCATCATAAGAGATCATGAGACTACCTTAAATAACATCTTTGTCTTTACTTGGTTGAATGGCTACTTACCTCTATCATTCTGTGATGTTTTTTTAATGGTTTTCAAGACTTACCTTTTGGTTAGAATTCTGCAAGTCGCTTTGTGCTTTTTCTTTGTCAGTTTAGTTCAGTCTTCTACGGTTTGATGGTTAATGGTGCATATGGGTGAAATAACAAAACAACGTTAGGCTTTGAGCAGCGACACATAATTAGTAGAAATATAACAACAAATGTTTATTTGAAGAAAAAAGATTTTGTTTAATGTTTGACCAATTTTTTTTTGTTTAAACACACACGTCTTTCTCCAGGAAAATATACATTAGTATAATCTGAAGTTGTTCCTTACTGGTTAAAATATGCTTTTGTTTACGCGTGGACATTAGTTTGAAATTCATAAAAGCTATTCTTTAATTAGTGTCAACGCGAGGAATATCTTTCAATCCCAAGGTGGTGCGGCTTTAACAAAAATTTAAATTAGTATATTATAATAACTATAACTACTACATGAACACAACCAATTCTCATTATCTATATCACTAGAGAGCACCTTCTCTCTCTCTCTGAGATTTGTTATCTTAGAACACTATTATCCAAAAAAACCCATTAGTGATCCTTAATCATTATTAAATTATATAAATGTACTTTAGTAACTTAAAAACTTTTGTTAAGATACTCTCAGATTTTGTCTCTCCAATGCTAGTTTCTTAATTTGGGTATCTTAAGAAAAAAATATTATTTTTTTATTGAAACTAAAATTTATTTATTAAATAAAACATAATAAAATAACATTTTAAACTTACATTTTAAAATTAAAACATAAGACCAAGGATTAACAAAGAAACGAGAAAAATTTGAAAGAAACATATGAGTTTAGTTGTTGTCTTGAACATGTCCAAATTTATTCCATAAATGTTCAACCAAATGAGCTTTGAGATGCATTTATCTATCACGAATTCTAGTCCGAGCATCCACTTGTGAACTTTCGTTGGCCTCGGTTTGTTGGAACTCTAAAACATCAAATTGAGTGTATCCATCTCGTTCGTCTTCTACTATCATATTATGGACTATGATGCATGGTCTCATAATCTTTTCAACCTTGACTTTATCTCAAAAAAGTGCTGAATTTTTAACAATGACAAAGCGAGCTTGTAAGACTCCAAAAGCACGCTCGACATCTTTTCGGACAGCTTCTTGTCTTTGAACAAATAAAACTGCTTTCGGCTCTTGTAGTATTGGAATTGATTGGATAAAAGTTGCCTATTTCGGGTAAATGCCATCGGTGAGATAGTAAGCCATATGATACTCTCTTCCATTGACGAAGTAAGTGACTTGCGGAGCTTGACCGTTTATTATGTCATAAAAAACGGGTGAGCGATCAAGAACATTAATATCAGTTAAGGTACCTAGAGGTCCAAAAAATGCATGTCGTATCTAGAGATCATATGAAGCTATCGCCTCTAAAACGATTGTTGGTTTACCCGGACCACGAGTATATTTCCATTTTCAAGCGGTGAAACAATTCTTCCACTCCCAATGCATACCATCGATGCTTCCTATCATCCCGGAAAATCTATGATGCTCACCAATATGAAGTAGACGTTGAAGATCTGTGGGTGTTGGTCTTCTTAGGTACTCATCGCCAAATAAATATATTATTCCTTCCACAAAATTTTCCACACATGCCCGAGTTGTAGTTTCAGCTAGCTGGAGGTATTCGTCGACCGCATCAGCTGCAGTCCCATATGCCAAGACACGAATAGCTACGGTACACGTTTGGAGTGTAAAGAACCCAAGCCTTCCAAGACCATCTTTATTTTGGCGAAAAAAACAAACTTCGTTAGAGAGTCGATCAATGTGCACGAACAATCGCCTGTTCGTTCTAAAACGTCGTGGGAAAAAAATTTAGGATACGTTGGAGTTTTTCACTAAAATAGTCATTCCATAAACGTATATGGCATGCTTCACGGTTTCTTTTGATATAAACACGTTTTTTCCTTTCCGGCCTCTCATCTTCTTGACCACCAGAAGCAATGACAAGATTCTTGAATGTTTGATCAAAACGTTGATCAAAATATTGTTCAAAAAATTGATCAAACTCATCAGGATTATTATGAAAAGAGGATGCCATGCTTACAGACCAAACGTGAAACCTACACCAAAAAAGATTTAAATATCTTTTAAACCATATCCAGCATGATTGCATATCATATTATTAGACTAATATCTGAATGATCAATTATAAACATAAAATGTTTGCTCAAGTGTACAAAGCCTTGAACGACGAGGCAACACTTGAGGTTTAATTAATTATAAACATAAAACATTAGCTCAAGTTTTTTATATGGTTCAGAGTTGGAATATAAGCAAACATTTTCTATCAACAATTTAGATGAATATTGGTGAAATATCTTCAATCATATTAAAAACTACTTACACAATATTAAGATCCATAGACTAACCTTAATTCTCTTTTTAGTATGAACATATTTCTTAGATGAATATTTTGCTATTTAGATGAATATTTTGTGATTAAGAATGGAGAAAGAGAAGACAATACTTGTGTGAGACTAGAAAGAGAAGTTAATATTTTCTAGATACAAAAGCCACAAAGAGTTGATCTCATTTTAAAGACAATGAGAATACAAAACAACAAACACAACAGCAGTCTTGTGACACAACAAGACAACTAAGACAAAGCAACTAATGCCAGATACTTTCGTGACACAGCATGACAACTAAGACAAAGCAACACAACAAGTTACTCCCGTGACCACATGACTGACACAACAAAACAAAAAAACCACCTCTGCTTTTCCACGTCCGTGACCACTTCCCAACCACCTCCCACGCTACTCTGACCCGCCTGAAATCAAAGAACAGAAACAAAACATAAATATAGTCACAACGCAACATAACATAAAAAGAACATAAATATAGTCACAACGCAACATGACTGACACAACAAAATAACACAACAGAACATAGCGGTAACAGAACATAAATATTACCCAAGAACAACACAAGAACACATAAACGTAACGAAAATATTATCCAACATTTCAGCAATTAACTTCGCCTTAAGAGTTTATTCAAAATCAGATAATGGCTCTTTTTGGCAATGAGAGTCTCTAGAATATCCATCTTCTTGATTTCTTTTTTCGATGCTAAGTCTTTCTTCTTAATTGCCCACAAGCGATAAAACTCAGAGAAATGATCTTCATTGGTTCTCTTAGCACTTCCTCGTTTTGATGCCTTAACACCATGAGGACGTGGCTCACCTTCATATGTAGTTGCTTGAGAGCTTTCAGATTGAGGACCATCGTCACATTTTCTCTTCTTAGGAGTTCCATCCATCTTACAAGTAGTAACTTCACACCAATTTTCTTCATACCGCAGCTCCTCCCACGCATGTTGGAAGGTAAATTTGATGTTATGATCGTTGAAGAAGATCACATGTGCTGCCTTAACGACATCGTTCTCATTCTGACCAGAAGTTTTTTGACTTGTTGCTGCGTCCTAGGATCCAGCAAATTGGCAGACTTGATCGTTTATCTTCTGCCACCTTTGCTTACACTGGATAGCCTCTCGCTTCTCAAAACTTTCAACCTTCGGAATATCGTTGTAGTAAGTAGCTACTCATTTCCAGAAAGCCCTTTCTTTTTGCTCGTTGCTTACAATTGGATCATTGCTCGTGTTTAGCCATGCGCTAATGAGCACTACATCTTCTGTGGGAATCCATTTCTTCCTATCCGCGCGCTCTATAGTTGTCTCTTTACTAACAATAGGGAGTTGTGAAAAACTCTGAGGATTATAACAATCTTGTTGAATGTTCAAAAGGTCTACAAAATTCATCGAACCCATGGAAAGAAAGAAGAAGAGATGTGTTTAATTGCAGAAATTATGTTTAGGAGATGGAAAGAAAGAGCAAAATAACCATGTTTAATAGATGAAAAGAGAAGAAGATCTTGGAAGATAGGTGTCTTTAATTGCTTTAACTATTTGGGTTGAGTTAAATCGAGATGAGTTGACATATATTTATAATATTAGTAGTCATCATTCACTAACTATAACCTAATCCAAACCACCATTCATCACACGCATTAATCACACTCAACTTTTATCTATACCAAAGCAATGCAGAAAAAGCAGGACAACTGAATCAAGTGAAGAGAATTTCAGTGTACGTACCATCAACAGCTAGCTTGACAAGACAAACACCCACTTTCTTGACTTTAAGAGCACCCTATCTATGCTCCATCACAACATGACGTCCCTGCAAAGGCAACATACCAGTAGCAATTCAGACCAAAATGGAAATTGAGGTAATAGGAAATGAAACAAGAAGACATGAAGAGACAACTAAAAAGAATTATCTACAACAACATGGAAAGTGACTTTACTTTACTTAACCAAATCGTTTAACAAACTAAAAAAGTGTATGATACAGGAGCACCGTTTGTTAAAGACTCCTAAACTGATCTTGCAGCAGCTAACTCCATCTCTAAGCTCGAAATAGTCTTATCCAATGTCCTGTAGGTAACAACAAGAGTTGTTAGCTATCACAAAAAGTTCAGAAATCTCTCCGTACTTCATGTTCTTGAAGTACAACCTGAGTAAACTGTTAGATCTTTGTCTGGTTCAAAACAACGGAAAAATCTCGCTTATTACTTGGATTCGAAATCTTCATATTAGATTTTACAATACTGTTGATGATATGATTCACAAATCGTTTAGTTTCAGTTACATATTCAAAATCTTTAGCCTTTATCAACTTTATGGACTGGGTTTTGTAACTTTTGAGTTACTGAAAACGTTTGATCAGGGTGGTACGGAAGTTCGCATAGTACGGTCGCACTGGCCAAGAAGGTTTGCTATCGGATCCATCACTTGAGTTAGACTCTCCTGGCACTGAAACCGCTCTGGAAGGTAATGTTGAATGATGTGGCATGCGCTTTCTCTCCCTTACATCAGGTAATGCTTGATTCCGCTGGTGCGATTAGTGTTTCATGAGAATTGTTTTTAACATGTTGTGTTTGTAACTTTGATGTGGTAGTTAGGGTTGCGAGGCGGAGGAAGTGAATCGTACCTGGAGCGATCCAATGAGCCGGAGTTTATCTATTACGTGCTTCATCTACTCATTATTGGCAAAACAAGAAAATGTGATCAAGGTAGCCAGAAGCAGTCTGCACAACTAGACATGACGGTAACAACATATTTATTCGTTTTGTAAGAGCATAATAATCTGAAGTCCTGGAATCGCAAAAATTGGACATTGTATGTTTATAGGTATATATGATGTAAGGGGAAATTGATGAAATACCTGACAAAGACAAAGTTGAAGAAGATATTGAAGATCTTACTGGCACAGTTAGTTACCTTGATTTAATCACAAGATTCATACCCCCTCACCTTTCATTAGTTTCCTCCAAGCTTTGTCTATCTAGCTACTTCTTTAGGTGTGTCGTCCTTATAGATCCTCCATCAGATTGGTGTCGGCGCTGCATCTCAGGTTGGTGTTCCCACTATATTTGGGCAAAATTGTCATGAAAACGCTAGGGTTGGTTTAAAACTAAACTCAGTTTGTTGCTTCTTTCTAAACCGCAGCTCCAGAAGGCCGAATTGCAAGAAAACCTGCTGCTCCAAATACAGTCAATAACAAGAACGAGAAGTACGTTATGTAGATTGACCATTTCAGTACATAATACTTGCATTGATTTATGATTCCCTGAAATTGATAATTCATTCATTTCATTTTAAACATCAAATAAGTGACCACTGATATTTCATTTCAATTAGAGGCAGGAAAGAAAGATTAGAAAGAGGTACAACTCCTTTGGTGAGACGCCATCCAATGTAAGTGTTAATGACGAATTTGATATGTTTTTATGTATCATGTTTTTGGTGAAGATTGTATGTGTGTACTCTATTCATCGCTTCTCTATGCTTTTCTGAAGATTTATTTGACAAGTAGCCATGTATAAAGAGAAGTTACCCATCAACATTGGGGTCAATGGCCACGTTGACTCTGAAAAATCAACAATCATTGGTCACTTTGATCTAAAAGCTTGGTGGTATTAATAACAAGCGTGTGATTGGGAGGTTCGAGAAGGAAGTTGCTGAGATGTGCAAGAGGTCCTTCAAGTACGTGATTGAGGTCCGTAATACTTATGGTGACGACAGTCAAATTAATCAAGGTATAATGACTTCCATTCGCATCAACAAGTACATAATCAGCTGAACAAACACTTATGTGTGTTTAAACTTTATTTTTCATCACTCTTCGACTACCAAACCTCCTTCTTTGGTAATGTCTAAATATACTTATATGCAGAGATTGGACTATGTATCTGATAAGTACCAAGGTTGAGTGATGAGCTGTAGTATGAAGTAGTAGGAAGCTGATGACATGGCAGTGTAACGTGGACTGGCCGTAGTAGGAAGCTGATGACATGGCAGTGTGACATTGACTGACTGTTAAAGTCAACAAATCAGTTGGATTGTTTGTTGCAGTTAACAAGTTCACATCCAAGATCGTATCGTCTTCTTCTTTTGGAATCAGACATTTTCTGGGGAAATGATCTTGGGATCCTAAGGTGAAAACCTTAGATTTGGGCTTGGCTGAAGATTGTGACTTATTCGAATTGTACATGTTTCGATAGCTTGAGCTCTATTAGTGTCTTTTTGCGTCTTTGACAGCCTGGCCATCCTCCTACACGAGATGTTCGAAAGTTTGGAACACTCTGAGTCAAATAAAATCATCAAGGTTATTCATAGACTACTAGCTTTCTTGGCACCATCGAAAAGTTCTTGAATCAAGGATTGGGCCGTGTCACCTTCAAGTTGTAACGTGATGAAGAGCTCGATCTATGAAATTGTCTCTTCATTTGTAAAGTATTGGTATAGATCATCTGATGATTGTATCAGAAATTGGTCTCTTGAGCCTAATCGATGGTGGTAAACTGCTGGCAAGGGGACATCCTTTTATAATCGATTTGAAGCATTAGTTACGACCATCACTTATATAACACCACACACTAAACTAAATTATAATATCATCATTTAACCTCAAGGAAAATGAATAATACAAGAAAACTTTTCCACCTCTTTAACTTCGCATTTCATGAATATCTTTTTAATATTAATATAAACATAGTCTATAATAAGAATAAAAAAAAATGCATATATATAGTAGCATTCCTATAAATTAATAAGTATTATCGGTTCCTACTTGGACCGGTTCAAAATTTTAAACAAACTGATAATATAATAAGATAATATTTTATAGAAAATTCTATATAAATATGTAGTCCCATTAAAATTATAAATTAATAATTTATATGTATATATTTTTATATAAGTAAGAACCTATCATTATATTTTTATCTTATATTCAGAATGAAATGATGTTTATATTTTTTTACACTTAATATATTTTGATGCAATTTTTTAGTAATATTATATATAAAAATAGCATCTAAATTCTTTATAATATATATTATATACACTAAGTAATATAATAAAATTAATATAAATGTTAAATTTTAAAAGAATAATTAATTTTTATACACTAAAATTAAATATTTTTATCTTATAATAATTATATCTTAAAATTAAAAAAAATCTAACTAAGGAATTTTTTCTGTAAATTAACATCTTTATAAATTAATAAAATTTCAAAATCCCAACATTATTAATTTATAGAAGTTTTACTGTATATATATTTATGTATTTTTTTTTAGTAACTAATCCGCCCGTAGGGCAGACCAAATCCTAGTAAATTCAAATATTCTAAATGGAACATATCAACAGCTATTTGAAGATGTGACGTAGCTATTTGAAGATGTGACCTGTATAACTCAGAAAAAAATTATTAAATTACTAAACTTGTTAAAGTTTTAGAAAAAAGAAAAGCAACCATGAATTTAAATTTCCTAAATGTCCTTCAACTCCCCCCACCAACAACACCTTAAAGGGTGGACATTGTATACTTCGGAACCGAACGTAAACCAAATATCCCCTATATATTAATCGAGAATCATTTAAAAAGTTGTAACTTTAAGTTTGTAAGAATTAAAAATAACTCTAATCCTATGTGGCATAGCTATTTGGCTTTTATTTCAAATCTCAAGAATTCTAGAGCACGTGATATAATGTATAATCTAAAAATTATACTTTCTAGCAATATAATATTTCATATGCTATACTTGGTCGCATATATCAAATATTTATTATTTTTCCTGCTTCCCTTAAATAAAACCTACGGAATTACCTAATGTGATTAAAATATATATATGACAATTAATGATCTTAAACAATAAAGATTTGATAACAATCTGTATACTTTTTCTCAATTTGTTTATTTCTTTATTATTAAAATAAATTACACAATTACATTAATCATATAATAAAAATTTAGATTTTTTTGTGTATGATGTATTTCGAATTTTTCAAAATGAGTATAAATTACTAAAATTGTTAAAAGTCTCACATAAACTTTTAGGATCAATTTTTTTATTTCTTTCTATATATATTAAATATAATGATTATAAGACCATATGAATAAAGAATTTTAGTTTATATATATTTCATATCGTTTTAATTAAACTATACATCGTATGAAAATACATACTTACATTATGATATTTGCCTTGAACATATATTTAAAAGTTAATATTTTAATTTTAAAATTTGTCATTTTTTTAAAAATGATTATAATTTATTGAAACTACTAAACATCTCACAATAAAAAGAAAATCGTTGGTGTAAAGTTTTGTTACAAAAATATGCAAATAATCATAAAATCATATGAGTAGAAACCTCATTTAATAAATATTCATATTAAAAGTATGCTATATTACTATGTTTATATCATTTAAATTTAATTATATATCATATACAATATATAAGATTAATTATTTTGATTTATTTACCCTAATTGCGAATAAACAAGAGTGATAGTTAAATTTATATGCGTACGCCAATTTATTACATAATAGTAACTGATTTCTTAGTTATTTAATATCTATATTTATTATTTTATTATTTTATAATAGGCAGAAAAATATAAAATAAATAATAAATATAAAATACTTATTGTGCATAAAGTGCAGATCTTAACCTAAGTATGTACCTCTTTAATTATTTTAAATCTTAAGTATTTTCTAAATTCCAGGTCAAAACAAACAAAGGAAATGAGAATAAACTTCAAAACAAATATTTATATCGAGTAATAACCAAAATATAAAAAAACACAACAAGAGAAAAATTGAAGATAATAGGATTGACACGTGAACGTAAACTTCTCATAACCATAAATAACTTTTAAATTGTTAAATCATGATATAAAACTAAGTTAATTTTTAATTTGTTAATTTTAATTTTTTTTAATTTCTTAAACCATTATGGTTATGTTTAATCATGACCATAATTAATTTTAAATTGTTTATTTATACTTGAAAGACTTAAAATATTGTTTTAAAAATAATTTAAAATTTAACTTATTTTTTAATAAAATTATTTAAAAAATAATTTGTAAAAAATATAATTTTCTAATATTATTAGACAAATAAATTAATTATATTAAATAAGTTTTGAAACTTTTTATATTTTAAATGCAAATATTTTACAACTACTTCTTAAAAAAATATTATAGAATTTGCTAATACTCTACCAATCAAGCTCAGTGACATTCCATTTATTTTCCATCACTTGAACACTGAAAAGTGAAAAGATATATGAAATCGGGTCCATTAAAATCTAAGATTTGATCTTCACTTTTAATTACGTATAGATAATTATATAAAAATTCCAAAATCAAAAAATTTCAAATACATATAAAAATAACCATATGTAAATTTTAAATTTGTCAATACTAAAATTTTATATTTTAATTACATATATTCATCATGTGTCTTATTCTAGTTATAGCATCTATATATATAAAGAAATGTTCACTCCCTCTAGCCTATGCCACGTCACTAATTCATGGATTCTGGAACCGCCACGTGGCAAGACAAAACACAATCCGTGTTTTCTTTCGTTTGGGCTTCAACCACACGGGCCTCATGTTATTTTTCTTTCCTATGGCCCGTCTGATATCCTAGAGTTGAAACGCGGCGTTTATTGCTAATTTGCTAGGGCTTCAGAAGATTCTTCATCGCCTCCCATTGGCTTGGCGATTGATGTTCTCAACTCAGAAGTTTCGTCTTCTTCATCGATCATGACACCGTACCAGTTACAGAAATATCATGTTAATGCCCTCCATTAAACCTTTACCCACTATGAGTTCTTAAGGTGGTGGTGATTGTGTACTATAAATATGTGAGCTCTCCGACCTTGAAAATCATCATCTATTTCGTTTTGTAACAACCAGTAAATAACTCCCGTCAAGTATGGCTAACGTCACGGACTTCCTTTCTGATTTGCAGACTGACGCCACTGTTTAAGTCCGTTTGATTCGGTTCTGGGAGGCTCCGAATGTCCGCCGTGATGGAGAGCTCATGGGAGTCGACATGCACTTGGTGGATTCTCAGGTCTATTATTATGCTCTACCTCATGTTCTTAGCTATAGTTATTTCTATGGTTTAAATCTTTAGAAATCCTTGCTGTTGTGAATCGTTTTAAAAAAAGAAACTTCAAAAACATGTTTCTGTCACGTTTTTGTCTAACTCCGCCGGTAGATCATTATTTAGAGATATCACACCGGTATTAATACGTGACCATATTTTCGAAATCGTGAATTCAATTTACCTCACTTTTTTATATTCCTTGATTCTGTTTCAAACATTTACCTCGACATTCTGGAAAATTGATGATTGTTGCAAGGGAAAGCAGTTTTTATCGGTAATTGTTTGACACATTCCAGTCAGTACAGTTTCACCGCAGATCATCAAACGTTAACCGTCCCACGCATTCTCTGTGAGTGTGACCATCCTCCACATCAGTGTCCTATTAGTTTTATTATTTAGAATAGACTTTGTTAAATGTTGGTATTGGTAATAGTTTCGTGACATAGATCCAAAGAGGTTGTAATTGCAATATTAGCGATTTTAAGCTGCATTATTTTCAGAACGTCTTACAAAATAGCAGCCAACGTCTTATCCATCCTAATGATAAACCAAACAAATATTGGTCTTTTAATTTCTAAATTGAATGATACTTTGTATCTTCTTTGTCTGATTAGGGAGGAGACAAAGACTGGTGCCATCTCAGAGACTACTAAGGTGGAAGCTGTTGGCTATTGCCAGTCTCAGGGAGTACCTGCCAAAATGAAAAGGGCACAGAAGGCGTCGGTGAAGCGAATGAAGTTCAAGATAAAGTATTTACGATTTTAATAATGTTCCATTTTCTTCTTGGTTGTTTTGGGCTTTTATTTTAATATTTTTGTGTTTGTTTCTCAACCAATTTTGGTTTGACTCTTTCATACCTATATATTTGTTCTTATTTATCACAAAAATACACTTCTCTCATATTCCACAATTGTTTGAGAACATAAGTTTTTCAATATAATTAAGGATCACCATAATCTACGTCGTAAATATGATTATCGTTATTTTGGGAGTCTATTTTTGACCCCGCAACATATTATTTTTTTCACTAACATTATCAAGTCTATATACATATCACATTCAAGCTGTCTTCAAATTTATTCAGAATGCAATTCGTTACTGTATGCAAATTCAGAGGGAACGTCTAATTCACATTATAAATTGACAGTCGTTAAGATTTTTATAATACTTTAACAAGGCTAGAACATGTATCACTGCATATAAATTAATAATTTGAAGCCTACGTCACATGTCTGATCAGCCCGTTATCATACGCATCCACCTATAGCGCCCACCTCGCTCTATGATTGTAACTGCTACGCCTGCTGAGTTTTACTATATGACGGCCTCCTTATGTCCGTTGTCATTTGGTTAACGTAAACGTCCGTCTGATATGTTTTAGTGATTTCAGACTGCATACTACCTGCCTTATACTTTGTCTCCAAACATCTCTTCAGCACGTAGCCACAATTTATAAAAACCAAATATACTCCTTGCCAAATACTGATATACACCTACGGATACAACGTACTAACACAATAAAACAGATACTGAAAACAAATGATTCATCTAAAATAGATCAACACACAAAAACATAATATTACAAACAATATAAAACCGTATGGATCATGAAAAATGGAATCCCGCCCGTAGGGCGGGCCAACCCTAGCAAGAACCAAACGAAACCAAACCAATAGTATTTAGTTTCAGAGCCACGTCCCGTTGTATGTGACTTTTAAGAAAACAAATTTCAGTACAAAAATAAAACTGAAATATGAGGACTAGATTTGCAAAATTATTTCTCACGGTTTCCATATGCTTCTTCATACAGTATATGTTTCGGAAGATTACAAAAAAAAAAAGGTTTAAATCAAAATTATAGTGCAGCCACACAGAAATAATTAAATTAAATCTTTTGTCGAGTCTGCTGCTATAATCCGTCTGAATCTCCAAAACATCTATTTGTCGCCATTTCTGCACAATTGTTGAAGCATTACAGTTCAATTCAAGGTCAGTTTCCATTCACTCGTCACCTGGACAGTAGAACATCCAGTTTCTGGAATGTGGTGGAATGTTCTGATTAAATTTTTTGAATGTTCTGATTTAGGTTGTGTACACAGAAGAATGGAATTTGGGTTTTTGAGGTAAACAAATTATTCGATTTTCGATGCTGATCTCTTTAGAATGTCCTTGTTCTAGTTCATCATTTATTGGTAGACTTATAGTTAATTATGTTCTTCTTGAACACAGACATTGTCTTGAGCAAAATCTCACTCTTTCATGGAACTTAAAGCCATCGAATTTCCAGAGACTTCCTTATCCTATGGTAGCTTCTGCTCGAAAGCATTACTACAACAACAGTTTACTCTTAAAGAGATTTTTAGTCCGTGTCAGCACTGAGGATTCTTCACTCGATGACTCTGTTGTTTCTCGACCTTTCACTAGTGAGGAGGTTACAATCTTTTTATCTTCTTAAATCTAAAGCATATATATATATATATATATGACGAAAGCCTGATCATGTATTTATTTCTCAACTGCAATGGGGAGATAGATATAACAAACTCTCTCTTTGGTTATGTAGTTGAAGTCATTGCTCATCGATAACGAGAGATCAAAGCTTGTTAAGAAGTTGAGTGAAGCTAATCAACATAACCGCTTCCTCAAGCGTCAGGTGCTTGCTTGTATATATTTTTTGCTCTTCTTCATTTTTGTTTTAGAGTTTGTTTGATGAGCATTCTTTTCTTACAAACTTATATAAATACACGATCCTTCACTTTCTATCCTTGATGAGTTATCTGACTTGCTTATTGTCTACCTCTGACCTGCAGCTTAAAACACAGGAGGACGAGATAACTAACATCAAAAGTGAGCTTGCTATCATGGAGCTCGAAGTTCAGGTCATAATTTCTATTCTTTATAGCTTTTATAGTGTCACGAATCACCATCTCATTTTTTATATATGTATGTCATTTCTCCATCACGTATATTCAGGTTTGTATAGTAGACAATGTTTCATAATTAATAGTTCTCTGGATGAGTAGGCTCTGGTCAACTTAGCGGAAGAAATAGCAAACCTGGGTATTCCACAAGGTTCTAGAAAGATTAGCGGAAAGTACGTTCAATCACACCTTCTCACTCGCTTAGACGGTTTTTCTCATTCTCTTTCTCCTCTTGGTTTCATCATAAAATAGGTTCCCTTCAAGGAAATATAAAACTAAAATCATCATTTTCTCTCCCATTACAGCTGTTCATAATAAGTTGAAGGAACAAATAAAAGACGTGGAAGCTGCACAATCAAAGGAAGTTAATGTCTTCTGGATTGGTATGGCAGAGGTAAAATAACCTTCACATTCTTTTACGGTTCTTTACAGTATATTCCTGCACTTGACATTAAATAAACATCATTTATTTGATAATATTCACATTAGAGTGTACAAGTAATGGGATCTTTCGACGGATGGAGCCAACCTGAGGATCTATCGCCTGAGTACACAGCTTCTTTTACTAAATTCTCCACCACATTGGTCCTTCGTCCTGGGCGGTACCCTTTTTTCTTCTTTACTTTTTTTTTTTGCACTCAATATCACTTTTGCATGTTTCAACTTTTTCTTTTTAATTCTTGAAACTTAAGGTATGAGATGAAGTTCTTAGTGGATGGAGAATGGCAGATCTCACGTGAGTTTCCTACTTCCGGAGAAGGAATGTTGGAGAACAATGTTCTAGTGGTGGAATAGTTGCATCCTACATTTTGGTAATACACCAATAAACATAACCCATCTGTTTCAGACCAGTCAGTGTGAATGAGATTCTAGACACAATCCAAACAACTAGGAGGGGTTTTTACTCGCTAATGTGTTGTGTTCTAATAGCATCCGAGTTGTTTGGTACAATGAAGAGTACAAATAGGTGAGATGGAGAAAGTATTTTGTTCTCATCTCCTTGAGTAATAAAGATTTATCTGTTTTCCTGAACAGATCAGCCACAAAAGAATCAGTTGCCTTTCTTATATTTTGTGTTTATATCTAATATCAAGAAGTTCTTGTTTTGTATGTAAGAGCCACACACACAGCCATAGGTTAAAAGGGTAAATTATTGGAACCTATCTGTATAATCTTATGAAGTTCAGGGAATATAATATTCAAATGTGCTCTGGTATATATACAAATACAACCTTCTACCCATATCCTTTTCTCTATACATAAAAGAATCTGCATCAAGAAGGATTGAATCAACGGAAACCGGTTTTGTCTAACGTGTCCTCCGTCTTTGTACCTCTTCTCCGTTTATAGCGTAGAATCATTCATTTTCTAACTAAAAAACTTAAGACAAAAATCTGCATTTAGAATTGCTCTAGTAACAGTATAAGGCGTACGCCACTACTAAATAAAGAAGCATAAACAGTATTCACAAGCTATGTCAAATATAAAATTTGTCAATTACTACTCCAATTGATCATAAAATCTACATATCAATACAAAAATCTCAACAAGGGAAGAGACAAAAGGAAGGATCTAAAAGTAACCTTCTATTTACAAAGCTAATCTTGGTCAACTTATTATGACACCAAACCAAGTGATCCTTGGTCAATTTGGACATGTTCAAGACCCTTGTCACAAGTTTCATGTCCACTTGCGAGAAGAAATGAAGCACTTGATCTTCCGTTGAATCTTCTTCCTTGTGCTTTTTGAATCTTCTTATGATACATCTCTCACTCTTCAACACATCTTTCAACCTTTTCTCCTTCTGCGATCACATTGGTGATTAAACCCGGTTAGCAAATCATTTAAGAAACTAAAAAAAAAGTTTACTGACAAACTTACATTTTGAAGCTCTGCTTTAACATCTGCGAACATCTCTAGATCTTCCGAGTCTTCTTCATGATCTGGCTCTATCTGTGACTTGGTTCTAGATTTATGATCATTAATGGAGCTACTTAACTTATCAAAACGTACAAACCGCCAGAACAATCGGATGGTTTCCTCCATAATCTCCACAAGTTGTTCACTTTTAATCGCACCGTCATCATTTTCTTCGTAATCTCTTCTTCTTTCCTTCCTCTTGTCCTTGTTTCCATCTTCTGTTAACGTCATCAACATTCCAAGAACCGGTTAGAAACTCCTGAACCGGTTTAAGAATTTAGTAAGTTTCGGTTTAAGGATTCTTACCTCGAATAACCGGGACTTGAAGTAGGTTACGAAGAACACGACGTTTCTTGATGTAGTGTTGCACTCTTGGCTCCTCGAACGGTTCATTTTCAAGAAACCTCTGAAGCAGAACCTGAAACTGTTGAAACTCTCCGGCGACTTCGTTGTACCGACGAGAACCGTACACATCGGATTCCAGTAATTTAATGGCCTTTTCGTATTGCCAGTGAAGAATTTCCCACGACAAACACATGTGACCAACGTATACGTTCTCTAATTCTCCATGAGTCTCTTTTCTGAATTGAACCAAAGGTTCGGTTTCCGGTTTCTTTGGTTTCCATAACCGGAGATTAAAAATCGAGGAAAATGATGTCTGTGAAGGAGAAGATCCAACGGTCGAGGGGTTCGTTGATTGAAGAAGCCCTTCAAGAAAAAATGGCCAAGAATCAAAGTTAAATTGAGGAACCAAATTTGATAAAAAAATAAAATAAAAAATTGAGGAACCAAATAAGAAAAAAAACATGTCAAATTTAAATCGTAGGAGCATAGATCGATTTATAAAGATAGGATTTTATAAATTCCTTATAAAAATAATAAATCGGTCTATAAATTTTTTAGAAAATTGATTGATAAAAGATGTTTTTATCATTTTATAATAGTATTATAAAACCATACAAAATCTGTAAATGTATTTTAAAAAATTGGATTTTATAAATCCCTTAAAACATTTGAAAATCATATAAAACTATATTAACCATACAGAGCTTTGCAACTTGATTATAAAGTTCTATAAATGCTCTCATAACTCAATAAAAGTCAAATAATATAAAATTGGCACCCATGAAGCATCAAACAAATGATTACTAACCTATTAAATTTCCAAACTCTAATTTAACAAAAGAAAGAAATTTGAAAAGAAGAAACGTATGTTCCACTAGCAAAGAAGGCTAAGTAAGTGGAGAGGGAGAAAACTTAGGTAAAGAAGTTCCAAAGGAGAGCAATGCAATAAAGAAGAAAGAATAAAAGCTAACCCCGAAAATGACACATTTGGTAGGCCAATAAAGATTTGCATGTGTGCATTGTCTTAAATATAAAGAAACAAAATTGGTTAGACTAAGTTTTCAGTTCCCAAAGCATTACGGTTGAAACAACATTTGTCACATAGCATCTACTGATCTACTTATCTAAGAACTATCTTAAATTTTTTTTTGTGAGAACTTCCCAATGAAAATGTTCTAATCAATCCAAAAAATTGTAAGTATAAAATTGTCAAACTAAAGTCATTAAAATGCTTAAATGACCTAATAAAATTTTCCTAAATCTAACTTTGTTACTAAAAGGACAAATTTGAGAGTAACTAGATGGAAAAGAAGAAGGATAGGTTCCACTAGCAAGGCTAAGTTAGTGATGAGTAAAAAGAAAATTTAGGTGAAGCAGTACCAAAAGAGACCATGCAATAAAGAAGAAACATAAAAGCGAACCCAAAAAACGACACAATAGGTGAAATGGGCCAATAAAGATTTGCATGTGTGCATTGGCTTTAAAAACAAATTGGTTAGACTAAGTTTTCAATTCCCAAAATCTAACTTTATAGTTGAAGCAACATTTATCATACAGCATCTATTGATCTACATGTGTTCTACTTATCTAAGAAAGGTAAAGAATATCAAAACGTCTTCTACAAACCCTAAAAGCTAAAACTGTGACCGATTAAAGACAATGCAATTACTTTGTTCACAATTAAACAAAACACTACTACTAAAAGATCACTTACTTATTCTAAAATGACATACGTACTGTTCTCTAGCAATCTTATTCCATGTAATTAATAAACTAAATGTAAACACAACTTCCATGAAAACATTTATTCAAAAATTAGTAAGAAAACCATAAAGACAATTAAATCATTTTTAGCTTTTAGGGTTGATGCAAAACGCGTCATCGAGTGCTAATTAGAAAAATCGAATTCTATAAACCCTATTCGTGGGGTCTAATGGGTTTATGAAAAAAAAAAATTTTCTAGCTTATAAAACACTGCAAAATAAAACTAATATAGGCCACGTTATTTGACTAATAACACTAAAAATGAAAATAATTTTATAAAATAAAGAAAAAGGATAGAGAAAACATACCAAGAGCAAAGGACTTTTGAAAACTCAAGATATCGAGTTTTCGCATTCTTTCTCTGTAACTTCGATGGAACTTATGAACTTCTCCAATGGTATCAACATGTTTGAATCTCTTCTCTTCTTCGATTCTCCATGGCTTTAACTCCTCCATGATCTTAGGACAATCATCGTCTTCTTCCTCTTCTTCAAGAATTGTCTGAAGCCCACCAATAGCTTTAACTTTCTTCATCTCCATCTTAAGTTGCTCTATCAAATTTTGATGCTCCCATAAACTCTCGAATCCTTCTTCGTCCTCTTCTTCTTCTCCTTCCTCTGAATCAGAACAAGAACCTGACGAATTGGGGGTTTTACGGTTTTGCCCTTTCTCCTCCGGTGGTGATGTTTCTCCAAAGTCGGAATCTGATAAGAACCCATCTTCGTTGCTTGTGAATGTTTGACTCGAGTCAACGAAATCAGAATCCGATTCCACAAAATCTTCTTCTGTTAAGAATCTGATCTTCTCGGAATTCTCTTTCTTGCAAACGGTGGAAGAAACAGAGTGATCCTCTGTTTTATCAACCCTAAATGTCGCCGCCTCTGGGTTTTCGAGAACGTAAGTGAGATTCTTCGCCGGAGATGGCGATCCGTACTTATTATCCGCCGTGGGAATGACCGGATAAGTAGAAGAAGAGCGTAAAAACCCGCTCAAACTCTCACCGGAGTAATCCTCTGTTTTTTCTCGGTTCTTCAAACAATCCTCAACCCTAAAAGTCGCCGACTTTGGGTTCTCAACAACAAAACTGAGATCCTTCACCAGAGAAGGAGACTCATACTTCTTTGCCGTCGTGTAAACCGCCGGAGAATTAGACAAAAAACTGCTCTCGCTGTAATCCTCTGTTTTTTCTCCCTTCTGTAAACAATCTTCAACCCTAAAAGTCGCTGCCTTTGAGTTTTCGACAGCGAAAGTGAGATTCTTCGCCGGTGACGGAGAATTATACTTCTTCTCCACCGTATTAATCGCCGGAGAACAAGACAAGGAATCGCTCTCGCTCTCACCGGAACCACTTAACGATCTGTAACCTCCTCTGCTTAACTTCTCGAAAGTATCCGTCTGAAACTCGAATTTGAAAACTAATTTCGACAGTCCACTGGTCTCTTCTTCATCGATCATCTTAGCTTCTTCTGATTCTTCTTCAAGTTCGAACAAAAACCGAATCTTTGATATGTCGGTTCCAACAATTGAACGGCTTGAAGAACTGTTTTGTTAGTATATAAAGAAAATTAAAAAAAAAATGTGTTTTCCTTTTCATTTATTTAACGCGTATGAAGTATGAACATGGAAACTAGTAATAAATATCATAAAAATGGAAATGGAAATTAATTAAAATAATCAAGTACCCGGAGAATAAGATGAGTATTGGTTTGAGCGAAGAGATGATAAGGGTGAAACAAGCATGATGTGGTGAGATCAAGTTCTGTAAAAAACACAAGGGGACTGATCAGAATTTTCTTAAGAGAAGACATATAGTGGGTAACTTTTGTTTACGAGTCATTGTTATGTCGGTCAAAAAAAAGTTTCAATGAAACACTTTATTTCTAGGTTGAAAAACTCATGCAGCAAGTGTAAATTTGCAGAAAAAGAGACTTTTCACCTAGAAACCCAAAAGAAACGTTAGAGAAATCGAAGGATGACGACAATGATGCTGATGATGATGCATGAATGATAGATAGATTTTGAAGTGAGAACTAACAGATGAGAGATTGAAGGGAAAGGAACAAGTGAGCTAATTTTATAATTGTTGGTAAAAAGAAATCAAAAGTGTTCTTTGAGCTAATCTTATGGTTGCTTTGAACCATGGATTTCTCCACTCTGTTATTGGATGCCACATACACATCTATTACTACAATAATCACGATTTATATTGACAAGATTTCCTTTAATTTCTTTTGTCGTAATTTGGAGTTTTAGATATGAAACATGCCGTTTGACCTTTTCGGTAGTGCTGCCACCTATTTTCTTATGGCTCTTTTTGTGTCTTTTTTGGACAATTTTATACTCATTTTGTTCCTACAACATTCATATTCTAATTTTTTTTTATATTTTTAATAAAATATAATAAATTTATATAATTTTTTGTATTTATTTATTTTCTATAATTTTCAACCAATAAAAAATCAATTAGTGCAATTAATTTTTTTTAAGTTTATAATAAGTTAACAAAATATGCATTAAAAAAATAAAATATGAATTTTTTGAAATAATTTTTTTCTATAATATGTATATTTAAGGAATGGACGGAGTATAAAAAGTCAATCATATATTACGATTTTGAAAATTAGCCTAAGGTTCGAAATATATGGCCCAGAAACATGGAATGAAAAGGAAATTTCAGAACATATTTGAATGGAGGCTCGTTAATATTTCATTATTTGAGGGCATGGATATAGTCTATAGAGCTTGCAGCCTAACCGATGGCCCATGATTCCACGATATGAACTGGACTTCTCGTGTGTGTGTATTTCTTAGGTTCTACACATGGATTTTAAGAATGGGGGAAATTGGTGTGTACTAACCAAAAACAAAAATTGTTAAAATGACCATAGGTTTTAGTTGACTGAGAGACCGTTTATTTGAACCTCTGTTCAAAAATGCAGGCACCTAACTGATTAGTCGTCCGGCTAAGCGCTCGGCGTTGGTGAACCTCCGTGACTTTAACCAAATTGGTAGAACTAATCGGTAAATCGATTAACTGACAGAAACCCGATTAATTTCTCTAAAATCGTGTTATATCCGATTTCAACCGCTTAATATTTGAACTTCATTGACAAGTTTTGGGCCTGCAAACAAGCCCATTTATCTGGGAATAAGCGATACTTTGTCTTTATATTTATAGGGAGTTTCAAGATCTCTTTTCTTTGTTGCTAACCGATGTGGGACAAAGATAGGCGTTTTTAATTTTTTTTTTTACAAATTCTTACTAATAAAAAATAAATCGCACTGTAGTAGCTTGAACCCTCTACCTTCCGGAGTAATGTACGCGCCTCAAACCACTGGACTATTATGCTTGATTGTCTAATTGTCACATATAATAGTATATATATATGTATATTTATAATTATAAATATAAGATTAGTTTCCGACCCCGAATAATCCCCGATTTATCAGTTAAGCGTTAGGCCCAGGTCAAGCGCCCGACTAGCGCCTAGCGAGTTCTTGAACATGGATTTGAACTGACGAAAATGTGAATACATTACTATTGTTTAAATTGCATAAAATAAACCGAATAGCTTACTCGAGTATAGCCGATTGAAATGACTTTATATTATACTAGATTCAGTTATGCATGTATTTTTTTATTTTAAACGCTGGGTGAATAATACTATGAGTTTGTTAAACAAAGTGAAACAAAGAGCCTCTAAAAACCGGAGGCAGCAAAAACAGCAGAAAAAGGAAATCAACTAGAGGATAACAGACTAACAGTAGAAACCCATGTTGAAGAACAACTTGTAAATCGGCAGATCAATTCATATGGAAAGGTAGAAGTGCCACCAGACAAGAAAAAAATCGCCAAAAACTCAGACAGATGATGCCTACATACAAGAGATGATGAAGCCATTGGGGACCACCTGTTGTTGAGGTATTAGTTCGCGGAGTACTACATATGTACATAAGGTAGTGCATAACTTGTTACATGAAACTGGAGCTATATTGAAGTTCGTGTATGGATTTTCTGAAGTTGAAAAAAGAAATTAAAAATATATGTGTGAAGAAAAATAGACGTTTTGTATTAAACAAAAGAGAGTTTATTTGAAAAAAGAAGTTTGTCATTATGAAAAATAAAGTTTGCTTACAAGGAAAGAGAAAATGAGCAAGGAGATTTGTAAATTTGTACTTGGAGAAGAGAGCCGCGAAATCTACCTTGTATAACTAGGTTGGCAGGGGAGATTTGTATTGTATTAACCAAAAAAGTATTATTATCAAAAGGATTTCATAACTTGTATGGTGAGTGAAATATAAAGAGCAAAGAAGAGAGAGAGAGAGAGAGAGAGAGAGAGAGAGAGAGAGAGAGAGAGAGAGAGAGAGAGAGAGAGAGAGAGAGAGAGTTTACTGGATCATGTATTAGATTATATAAACATGTGAGACTAGTGCTTTCTGGTTAACTGAGATTTATAAGTTCATGTGAAAGAGATTTAGTAAATACATATTTCTTATTGAGAATTTTTATGAGTTCATCTGTTGTAGTACTTCTTGACATAATACTCGTACAACTCTACATTAAAACTGATCTTTCACTTTCAATTAGTATTAGAGCGGGACACCGAAGTCAGTAATGAGATCTAAAGGCAAGATGAATGATATAGTACGACATGAATTTATGTTTGATCCTGATCAATATGAGCATGAATTGGAAAGTGCAGATGAAGCTAATCTTACAGAGTATTGATATGGATGTTTGGGTATCAATGGAAGATGCCTATGAAGTTCCCAAGAAAGTAGAGAAACATGGTGTTGTAGTCAACAAACCATTGACTAAATGGAAAAGCGTGAGAAGGAAATGTCAAGATATAATGCAAAATCTTTATCTTGTATTTTTACATCGGTCGAAAAGAAGCAAACCTGAGTCTATGGCGTATGGATACAAGAATGCAAAGGATGTGTGGGATATTCTACGAACACACTTTGAAGGAACTGAGAAGGTTAAGAGTTCAACGATAGATATTTTTCAAATAAAAAATTGGAGAACTTGAAGATGGACGAACATGAATCTATATCAAATTTTAGTTCTCAACTCAGTGTGTTAGCACAAGAGGCTCATGTTTTGGGCGAGAAATAAAAAGGACAAGAAACTGGTGAAAATTTTTGAAGGTGCATGCCAACAAGGTTTACAACATAGAAGGCATGAATGTCGGTGTCCCTTAACATAGATGAAATTATCTTTCATGAATTTGTAGGTGTGATAAAAGCCCATGAGATAGCGCTTGATGGCGTGGACAATCATACTAAGTGAACCTGGCAGTTGCTGAAACAACAAGTAAAAAATGAGAGAATGAAGACAAGGTGATTCAGATGATTCAAGTTATTCATCAAGTACTACATCAAATTGTACAGTGACAAGCATATGAGAAAGTTGGTGTGAGCAAACAAATACAAGAAGCTGACAAACCGTGTGTCAATACAGTGGTGCAATACCACATATGCAGAGGATTCACATCAAAACCGATTATCAAACAAACAAAAGAAGAGGAATCAAATGCTTTAGGTGCAAAGGAATTGCACACACTCTATCAGTGTGAATATGAACATGATGAGAAGTAGAAGAAAGAGAGATCCTTACTAAGTGTAGATCCTAAAATCCACACTAAGTATTTTGTAGAGATCAAGAGTTTAATCTGGGGAAGACAAATGATGTGGGAAACGATACTCAACACAATGATACAATCGGAATTCGGTTGACAAAAATGGACTTTATTGAATATAAAGTTTGGTACAAAGTGGTAAATAAGATCGAGAATAACAAAGAATGATAATAGTTATATGCGAACTAGAAGTCTATGAAGTGGGGTCGATGAGAATAGCGATTAGCTCTAGGGTTTTCCGTGTCCTCTATGCTCTGCTCTAGCTCCTCTTTTATAGTCTTCTTCTCGTTTAACTGTTTCTGCGATCTCCGGAGTGATAGCTCGAGCTCGTTTAACTAGATCTTATTGAGTTGAGGGTGATAATGCATGGGCCTCAACTTCCTACGATCCTTATGTCCAACGCCTATTCTTGTCTTATTTTATGGGTACTTCACGGGCTCATTTTCCTAATATTTATCTTTTCTTCGCGATGGACCTTGTATTACTGAAATTAATGGTCCCGATTTTGGGCCTAACATTTGCCTCCCAGCCTTTTTAGTTTGGGGAACTGAAAAAGGTTAACGGTTAATCAACTATCTGACGCTGTCACGTATCCCAGAGAGTGTGATGCCTCGTGTATCACTCTTGTCGGCCACTTCCTCGCATTGTGTGGCTGAGATTGATTGTCGATGTGACCTACTTCGGGAACTGTTTTCGAGTTTTATTAAATAAGTCGTCTTCTTCGTCAAGAAAGTTAATCTTCATAGCTTCCATAAGTCTTCTCTTTATTTCAATTTCTGTTCTCGACACACCAAATGGCTAACGAGAGATTCGGTCCTCATCTTCCTTCGATTCTTAAGGGAAAAGACCTCAAAGGTATCTACAATCTTCATGGAGTTTCTTATGCCGTGGAACTCGATAACACGGAAGTCTGTG